AAAAAAAAATCAAGCAAGCAAAATAATCCCTTGAAAGACGCACATCCATCAAACGAAAGCCTCCACGGATTTAGCTTGGTACAATGCCATTACCGGAAACTGGAGTCTTCTGGAAAACGAAGCTAGTCCCAAACAATGCTGGTGTTATGCAGTAGTTTTGGTCATTTTCATTAAGTGACCAGCCCAGCACTTCTCTCACTGTCTCCATAACATCAATTATAATTTATTGCAAAACCTCATCAGAGCTGCATTCTACTGCCGTAAGTTATTCTATTACTCATTGAGTTACTGCTAAGTTTTCCTCGACGTAATTTTCACGCCACATCAAAATCTTAATAAAAAAAAATCCAAAATTTTGAAAAAAGATCAAAAAGAACCTGCAAGGAAGCAAGTCGACTATTGGTCACGGTTTCCGCATTTTCGGCACATAATTCAAGCGCAGCACCATCTGAAGTGCCATCCGCTGCCACAGTCTCCTCAGATGGAGAAGTAGCCACTACACCTGTTTCATCGCCTTCATCTGCAATAACACAGCAAAGCTGAAATCTTCGCTGTTTTTCAGATACCATTTAAATTTCGGGTTTTTATTTGTTTTTTTAGTAATTCACAAAGTCAAATTTCATTTCCCCAGCAAAGGAAATATAACCAAAATGGACATTTTGCCCATCCATTTTTGCTATTCATTGCAACAGTAAACACAACGAACATTCTCTTTTTATTTAAGTAGAAAAATACCAAACAACCAGAGAAAAGCAAATTTTCCAAACCACGTTTTAAGTGCGCAACGTTGTTTCGTTTGCACATACAGACACACACACACACGCTTAAAAACAGACAAGCACGCATGGATGACCAGCAGCGTACCCCATGGCCAATAAAAAAGAAAATTTAAGCCCTTTCGGCCAAGTCCTGGCACTGAGCGATGAACCACATGATGCAACATGCCAGCACACAACCAATTTGATTTTTGGGAAAAAAAGTACACTGAATAAAATGTAGTACCAAATGCGCCACTGTCATACATATCCAATGTTTGCAGATCATCCTGCATATCGCTTATCTGATCGCTTAAATCCTGGATTTCCTTCTTCAGAAAATCCAATTGTTTCCTTTCTTTTGTCACTTTCTGTAAAAGAATATTAACGCATCTACACATATTAAAAAAAAAAA